TTTTTGACCCTGAAGTAGAGAAAACCGCGCGTAGGACAAGAAAGAAAACCAGACATCTCAGAGAGGAGCACTCCAGTGCTGTATCTCAGGGATCTGAGTCAGAAGTTGAACCAACAGACTCGTTTGGTGACACTTCGAGTGACTCTGACCAGGAGGAAGACACCATGGCTAATGCACGAACATTAAGGGAGTTGGCTGCTCTTAACTTAAATCAGCAGCCTTTGTGTATTGCTTTCCCAAATTTAGATAATAGCACTCCATTTGAATTAAAATATGGCCTTATTCATCTTTTACCTTCTTTCCATGGTTTACCAGGTGAGGAGCCGTATAAGCATCTGTAGGAGTTCGATGTTGTGTGCAATAGTATGAAACCCCCGGGAATCACAGAAGAGCAAATAAAAATACGGGCATTCCCTTTCTCATTGAAAGACTCTGCAAAGGACTGACTATACTACCTGCCACCAGGTAGCATTATCACGTGGGACCAGTTGCAGAAAAAATTTCTAGAAAAATATTTTCCTGCATCCAGGGCTGCAAGTCTAAGGAAAGAAATTTGCGGGATCAAGCAGCACCCAGGGGAGTCACTCTATGAGTACTGGGAGCGGTTCAAGAAGTTGTGCAACAAGTGCCCCCAGCACCAGATAAGTGAGCAGTTGCTCATATTGTATTTTTATGAGGGGCTCCTTTTCAAAGATAGGAGTATAATTGATGTTGCAAGCGGAGAGGCACTGGTGAACAAAACCCCTCGGGAAGCAAGGGAGTTAATAGAGGGGATGACAGAGAATTCGCTGCAATTTGGTACAAGGGAGGATGTCCCGGTACGCAAAGTGAACGAGGTAGAGACATCCTCTATCCAGCAGCAGTTGACTGAATTGACTTCTTTTGTTAGGCAACTTGCTGTAGGAAGTGCATCTCAGGCCAAGGTGTGCGGGGTATGCACGGGTATGGGTCATCCTACAGACATGTGCCCAATGCTCCAGGAAGAAAGTGCAGAGCAAGTGAACATGGCTGGTCACGCGCCCGCGCCACGAAGGCCCTATGACCCCGATTCAAGTACCTACAATCCCGGCTGAAAGGATCACCTGAATTTCAGCTATGGAGGAAATAGGCAGCCCAACTTTGCACCGAACAGGCAGTCTAATTTCGTGCCAAATAAGCAACTAGGGTACCAGCAACAATACCAGCCCCGACCACTCCGCCCCCAAGTTCTGGTCCATCTTTGGAGGAGATGATGAAACAGCTGATGGCAACTATTACGCAAAATCAGCAAAGGACGGATTCCGAAATGCAGGACATAAGGACTCAGATGAGTCAAATGACCACATCAATCAACCGTTTGGAGTCCCAAAACCAGGATAAATTGCCGTCTCAGCCTGAGTTGAACTCGGAGAATGTGAGCGCCATGACCTTGAGGAGTGGCAAGGAAATTCAGGGGCCTGAACCTGTGATCCCTAAGGATAAGGATGAGAAAAAGATCGAAAATGAGTTTGAGAGGGAGGACAGCAATGGTGCAGATCCAAAGGTACTTCCAAACCCAATAATTACAGTTAAAACTAACCCGCCTCCTTTTCCTAGCAGGTTGAAAAAATCGAAGAAACAGGATAAAGAGTAGGAGATCTTGGAGGTGTTTCGCAAGGTGGAGATAAATATCTCCCTCTTAGACGCCATCAAACAAGTACCAAAATATGCCAAGTTCCTAAGGGACTTGTGTGTCAACCGAAGGCGATTGAGGGAGATGAAAGGGTCATTGTTGGGGAGAATGTGTCAGCGGTCCTGCAGAGAAAGCTTCCACCAAAGTGTGGGGACCCAGGTATGTTTACTATCCCCTGTAGGATAGGCAACACTGTGATTAGAATGGCCATGTTGGATCTGGGAGTATCAATTAATGTCATGCCTAAATCTATCTATGCTTCTCTGAAACTAGGTCTATTAAAAGAAACTGGAATAACATTCAATTAACTGACCGAACTAATGCATATCCTGATGGGTTGGTTAAAGATGTGTTGGTGAAAGTTAATGATTTGGTGTTTCCAACTGATTTTTATGTACTTGATATGGATGATGATCACTCCCCCGATCCCTCACCTTTGTTATTGAGTAGACCCTTTATGAGCACAGTACAAACAAAAATTGATGTTAATAAGGGTACCTTATCCATGAAATTTGATGGGAAAATTGTGCATTTTAATATTTTTGATACTATGAAATATCACTCGATCTCCAAATTTAGCTCAGTTTTATCTGTGAGTGCTATTGACCCTGCGGTGTAGGAAGTGTTCGAAACTGTTGGCAGGGATGAGTTGGAGGTGGCTTTAACGAAGTACCTCGAGTTGGGGACAACTCCTGAGGTGGAATGGAGCGAGAATCTAAAATACACAATAGGTGCATTACACTCATTGCCGACCACCACAAAAAGGTATGAAATCCTACCTATCTTTATTCCCGAATTTTACCAGAGGGTATTGCCATCTGTGGTGCATGCACCTGAATTGGAGTTAAAACCCCTAACAGAGCACCTGAAGTATGCGTATTTGGGTGACAATGAGACACTCCCAGTGATTATCTCATCGGCATTTTCAAAAATCTAGGAGGAGAAACTGATCCGAGTCCTTCGAGAGCATAAAGAGGCGATAGGTTGGACAATCGCAGACATTAAGGGGATCAGCCCAGCCATCTGTATGCATCGGATTAGGCTGGAAGAGGATGCTAAACCTGTTCGGTAGGCTCAAAGGAGGCTCAACCCCCTCATGATGGAAGTGGTAAAGAAAGAAATTTTGAAATTGCTAGATGTGAGAATTATTTTTGCAATATCAGATAACTCTTGGGTGAGTCCAGTCCAGATTGTCCCAAAGAAGGCAGGAGTGACGGTAGAGGCTAACCAAACGGGTGAGCTCGTGCCAGTGCGGAAATCCACTGGATGGAGGCAGTGTATTGACTACCGTAGGCTGAACGCCATCACCAAAAAGGACCATTTCCCTCTCCCTTTCATTGACCAAATGGTTAAACGTTTAGCTTGTAGAGCTTACTATTGCTTTTTGGATGGATTTTCAGGATATTTTCAGATAGCAATTGCACCAGAGGATTAAGAGAAGACAACCTTCACGTGCCCGTTCGGGACCTTTGCCTATAGACGAATGCCATTTGAGTTATGCAATGCACCTGCAACATTCCAAAGGTGTATGGTAAGCATCTTTTCTGAGTATGTTGAGAAAATAATTGAGATTTTCATGGATGATTTCAGTGTGTATGGTGATAATTTTGATACGTGTCTAGATAACTTGAAATTGATCCTGATAAGGTGTATAGAGACTGATCTCATGCTTAATTGGGAAAAATGTCATTTTATGGTTGAGCACGGGATAGTCCTAGGTCATATTGTGTCGTCTAAGGGCATTGAGGTTGACAAGGCTAAAATAGACATTATATCTGCATTACCTTGTCCCGCGAATGTGCTGGAAATGCGTTCTTTTATTGGACATGCAGGTTTTTATCGAAGGTTCATCAAGAATTTTTCAAAAATTGGGGCCCCGTTATTCCAACTCTTACAAAAAGATGTGACCTTTGAGTTCGATGACAAGTGTGAGAAAGTTTTCAACAAGTTGAAAGAGCTACTTACCTCGCCCTCGATCATCCAGCCCCCCGATTGGAGTTTGCCATTTGAGATCATGTGCGATGCCAGTGATCATGCTGTTGGGGCTGTACTGGGGCAAAGAGTAGGAAAGGTGGCTCATGTCATCTATTATGCATTCCGGGTTTTGAATGGGGCACAGTTGAATTACTCCACCACTGAGAAGGAGTTTCTTGCGGTTATTTTTGTTTTAGAAAAATTCAGATCATATTTGTTAGGTGCTAAAGTAATTGTATTTTCTGATCATGCAGCATTAAGGTACCTAATGACCAAGAAGGATGCCAAACCGAGGCTTATCAGGTGGATATTGCTACTACAGGAATTTGACCTAGAGATAAGGGATAAAAAAGGCTCAGAAAATCTAGAAGCAGACTATTTGAGTCGCATACCAGTTGGGGAAAAGGACGAGCCATTGAAGGATGCATTCCCTGAAGAGCATTTATTTTTCTTAAATTCTCAATTGCCTTGGTATGCTGATTTGGTCAATTATCTAGTAACGGGTAATTTTCCTGCAGGTTGGCCGAAATCGAAGAGGGATAAATTGAAGAGTGATGCCAAATATTTCATCTGGGATGACCCGTACTTATGGAAGAGATGTGCAGGTCAAGTGATGAGGAGATCTGTAAGTGAAGTGGAATTTCAATCGATTTTAGCTTTTTGTCATACTTTTGCCTGTGGATGTCATTTTGGACTCAAGAGAACTGCTCATAAGATTTTAGAGAGTGGATTTTATTGGCCTTCATTATTTAAGGATGCTTATGTGTTCTGTAAGTCAAGTGATCGTTGTCAAAGGGTAAGTAATATAGCCCGTGGAGATCATATGCTCCAGGTCTCGTTGATTTTTATTGAAATTTTTGATGTTTGGGGTATAGATTTCATGGGGCCTTTTCCTACTTTATTTGGTTTTCTATATATTTTGCTGGCAGTTGATTATGTGTCTAAATGGGTGGAGGCTAAGGCCACTCAGACTAATGACTCAAAAGTAGTTGCAGATTTTTTCAGGTCTAATATTTTTGTGCGATTTGAAATGCCAAGAGCTATTGTCAGTGATAGGGGAACGCACTTCTGCAACAGAACCATAGCTGCGTTGTTTCGCAAGTATGGTGTACTCCACAGGGTCTCAACGTCATATCACCCTCAGACCAATGGTCAAGCGGAGGTATCGAACCGGGAGATTAAGTCCATTTTGGAGAAAATGGTGCGCCCCGATAGGAAATATTGGAGTCAACGGTTGGATGACACACTCTGGGCCTATCGGATTGCGTACAAGACTCCTATAGGGATGTCACCGTACAGGTTGGTATTTGGGAAGCCGTGTCACCTTCCAGTGGAGTTCGAGTACAGAGCTTTTTATGCGATAAAGTAATGCAACATGAGTTTAGAGGAGGCCGGTGCCCAACGGAAGTTGGATTTGCAAGAATTGGAGGAGATTCAGAACGAAACCTACGAAAATGCACTGATTTATAAGGAGAGAAACCGGACATTTCATGATCAACAAATTTCTAGAAAAACCTTTGAAGTTGGTCAGAAGGTCCTCCTATACCAATCCAGGCTCAAGCTATTCCCAGGTAAGTTACGTTTCCGTTGGATTTGACCTTTTATTGTCACTCACGTGTTTCCATATGGTGTAGTTGAAATCCGGAGTGCTAAGACAGACAACAAGTTTGTGGTGAACGGACACCGCCTCAAGTATTATTACGAAGGTTTCTTAAGTGGAGAGGTTGAGACAGTAAGTCTAGACACACCACCGTGTCCTAATTAGTGACACTTTACCATGTCTAACCAAAGACATTAAAGAAATGCGTTCATTGGGAGGCAACCCAATCTCTTTTAATCGTTTGTTTGGCTTTGTGTGATAGTTTCACTTTGTTTTCCTTGAGTTTGATTGGTTTCGGGTTTGAAATTTTCGTTTTTGATAAGTTGTAGGTGTCTGTCTGACTCGGCGTGCCTGCGTCGTGATGAACAGAAAACTCACGATCAGAATCGTCAAAAGGGATTCTTGCCTTTTGACGTGCCAGCGTCACGTTCGCGGGAAAGGTAAGGATTCAAAAAAAATTTTTATTAATTTTCATAAAAAAAATAAAACAAAAAAAAAGAGAAAATATTTCTCATCGTAGCGCATATGGAGCCTAAAATTTTTTTTTTCTTTTTTCTTTTTTCTTTTTTCCTTCTTTTCTTTCTTTTTCTTTCCTTCTTCTTCTTTCTTTCTCTTTTCTTTCTTTCTTCTCTTCTGTTTCGCCCTGCGCACGCCGACACCCGTGAGCCGCCCGCTGCGCGCCGCCGCTGTTCAGCCCCGCACGCTGCCGCTGCCCTACGCACCTCCCTCGCGCGAGCTATCCCTCTCTTAGCAGCGACCCACTTTACAGCGCCGCCGCTCCCCTATTCGCCTTTTCTTTCCTTCCCCCCACCTGCGCACGCCGCTCTTCTACCTCGCGCCGCCACCATCTTCGCCGCGAGCTGCAACAGCGCGCCTCGTTTCCCCAGCCGCGAGTGACCGGGCACACGTCGCTTGCAGTCGGACGACCGTCGCCGCCACTCTCCAACTGGGGGTTGCGGGCTGCTGTCCATCGTTTCTCTCTCCTCGTGCCTCCAGCAAGCCGACCAGCCCCACGCCGCCGCTGCCTCCCGAAGCCACAGAAGCAAGCTGACCTCTGCTCGCTGCTCTGTCCGCCGCCCGACGTGGTCCTGGTGGAGGTATTTGGAATTTATCCCCCGATTTCTAATATTGTTTGGTGCTGTTTGAGCCCCTCCACAATTGGTATTGGTGGCCGTGGGAGTTATTTCTTCAATTGTGTGGTCAACCAGTGGTACTGATTGTGTTATTTGCCCTGACTTTGTTGATTACTGGTTGGCCATTTTCTTGCATATTTTAGTCGCACTTTTGGGTGGGTTTGAGTTCTATTGGCTTAGGTCTGTTGAGCTGTATTGGTTGTGCGCTGCCTGTTGAGTCCAGTCATTGCCTTGTTTGGGTATTTGGACTACATTTGATCCTTCCTCTCTTATTGGCTGGTTAATAGGAAGCTGAAGGTTTGGAATTCCTTTGTCACTGTCCGAGTCTGAATTGTTATTGCCTGAATTGTTGATTTTGTGGAATTTTTGCTACGATTTTGGTTGGCTAAGTTATTATTGTCAAATATCTAAGCTATCATTGTTGAAATTGCTAATTCTGAGTTAAGGCATTAATTGGCCAACTGGAGCCATTTGTTGGGACTTTGGGTGAGCTGAATTGCAGTGGTTGTTTGCTAACTTTGGAGGAAATTTTGAACCTCATTTTGCTTGTGAAAATTGGTTGACTCGTAGTGAATTGTTGGGCACTATTCTGCTTGAATTGCTGGAAGACTCGCTGAGGCTTCTTTTGGGATTTTGGTTGAGTTATTTCTGAAATTGCTTGTTGAATTAGAGAGACTGGCCGCGTGAAGTACTTGTTGAGATTGGTAATATTCGGTTTAATTACTTGTTGAATTGCTGATTGGGAAGGCCTTACTATATCGGGCTACATATTGACTTCTGTGGACTGGCATACTTGCTGGGGTTACTTTCATTGCTATAGTCATTGAACTCATAACAGTTTGTTCGTCTTCTATGGGACATTGGGCATTTTTACTTGCTGGAACTCTTTTGTTTGTTATTGATTGGGTTACTACTGGGAGATTTTTGCTTTGTTTTTGTTGAGCTTCTTTTGCTAGTTGCTTTTGCTAGTTTCTATACCTGTTGGATCTTCTGTTACTTTGAGCTGACTGTTGGGAGACATGGTGAGACCTAAATCATCCTCTAGGTCTAGGGCCCCTCGTTCTCAACCCCTCCACATGCATCTATTCCTGTGAATACACCTACCAATCTACCCTTCTCTTCTAATGTCCGAACCCGCTTGAGTAGGGGCAGGGGTGCCCAGGTAGATACCCCAACTCACTTTGGAGGGCACCTAACCTTCACTAGACCCGCCGATCAGCAGAGATATGCTAAGGTCTGTGAGCGGCGTATCATACCTTGTAAATCTTGTAGTAAACTAGTTATGATGGGTCTAGGCATACGAGAGGAAGTCGAGCAGATGTTTACAGCCATCGGGTGGCGCCCGTATCTCTATATCTTCTGCCCCGCCTTTGTCGAGCTCACTCGGGAGTTTTATTCTACCTTTGAGTTTGAGTTGCCCACGAGGTACACCCTTGTGACACCCAATGTCATCCGCTTCCGTCTGATGGGTCGGAAATTTAATTTTTCGATTACCCAATTTAATATGGCATTTGGATTTATTACTCGGGAGTATGCTGAGACTAGAGAGTATGGTGAAAGTGCCTGTGATTACATAGAGCCTTTTCTCTCCCGCTACCGCACTATGTGGGAAGACATGTCTACCGATCGGCACCGCTACGACCCTTCTAGGTCTAGGAGCTCCTTTCTTAAGGACCCTAGCGCCCGATACGTTCAGCGATTCTTAGACTACAGCTACTCCGGTCGCAAGGACAGCTCCGGTATTCTCTCTCGACCCGAGTTTTTCTTTATCTGGAATATGAAGAATAACAACAAAGTCAACTTGGGTTGTTGGTTTGCGGCACAGTTCAAGACCGTCTTAGCCAAAAAGAACAAACCCCTGATCCTTGGGTCCTATATCACACACTTGGCAACACAGTTGGGAGTTCTTAACCTGGAGAACCACGACCTACATTTGGCATTCGAGATGGAGCTCCTGGGCGTGGACTACTTAGAGAAAATGGAAGTCGTCGAGCGCCTACCCGATGGTTCTTACCAGTTTACCTCTCCGGGACCAGTTCGAGCTCCAGGGGTGCACCCTTCGACCCGAGCAGGGTCCTCTTCATTTCATGAGTCAGTCGAGGACACAGCTGGGCCTTCATCTTCTGCGTCATCTCCACCACATGGGACGACTGAATAGCAGCAACTCCGGGAGCAGGTTCGGGCTTTGGAGGCTCGAATGGTCAACGTTGACGCCAATGTCGCAGGCATGGCATAGAATTTGGTGCAGTTTTTATTTCACACGGGTTTCGCTGCTCCATTTCCACCTCGCCCACCTCTTTGACCCGGTTTCAGGGAAGTTTGGTTGCTTTCTCTCTTACTTGTGCTGTTTATTTGACCCATTGAGGACAATGTGTCCTATAGGTGTGGGAGAGGTCTAATGGGGTGCTAGTATTTTCTAGTTATTAGTAGTTTTTAGTTTTATTTCTAGTTGCTCATTTGCTTACTTTCTTTTCTTGGTGCTTATCCCTCATGTGAAAAATTTTTTTTTAAAAAAAATGGATGTTGGTTCATTGCCTCTAATTCTATTTTTGCCAAGTTTTTAAAATAAAAATGTATCGGATTAATGTGGTTGGGTCCAAGATATCTCCTTGGTGAATATCGGACTGTTTGACTCTTTTGATTTCTTTGTTAACTTTTCTAGGCATAGGGAATGGCTGTTGGCATTTTAATGTGAACTGGTCCAATATTGACTCCAGTTCTCCATGTTTGGCAATAATGAGGTGAGCTGCTCCTATGCGTGGTTATTAGTGTTGTTATCTTGCGTTTTTGCATTATTTGGCTGTGAATAAGTTTGACTGTACTCCGCTAATAGTTGCTACTGAGTAATCGGGAATCTGCACCTAAAAGTGTTGATTCTCGCGTCAAAAGGTGGTACTTTTTATGAGTACGTGGTCGTATAGCGGTGAGAGCTGAGTAACCGGGCTCCTTCATTTAAAAATATTGGAGTTCGCGTCAAAAGGCTCCAATGGCTAGAGACTAAGTCTTTTGTGTATTGTTATTATTATTGGAAATGAAAAAAGTGAAAAAAAAAACAGAAAAGTGCAGGTTGTGTAATATGTTAGAGGTCAGCTTGCCCATTTATGGACTGAATATGGAGGCTTTGGTTAATATTTGAATTGTTTGCTGATAAGTGTTATACGTCATTCTTTCTTCTTAGATTAGCTAATTTGGAAATTGAAGAAATTTGCAGTTTAGAGGCTAACTGGGGGGATGCTCCTCAGATTTTGATCACTAGTACTCGATATATGGTTTTTCTTGATATCTTGGCAAGTTGGTAGAATAGAGTGATGACCATTATCAAATTTTGGTGTCTGTACACTTTTCTTATGCTTGAGGGCAAGCATGGTTTAGGTGTGGGGGGAATTGATAGGTTGCAATTTATCTATTTATTTTATTATTAATTTTCCCTATTACCTGACCTGATGTGGATTAATTAGTAGATTCTATTTACTTTTCGTAATTTGCACTTATTTCAGGGAGTAGAACGAAAATATGATGACAGGTACACATTTGGCAGAAAAAGAGTCCCGATGATAGAGATTGACCCAGGGATATTTTTGGAAAAGAAGATGTTACGTCTATTTTGGTAAATTCCGCAAGGGAATGACGGCCGGAAGGGCTTCATTTTGCTGAGGTGCTGCGGGGAATTAGGAGAAAAAAAAGAGAAGGAAGAGAGCAGGGGCTGGAGAGCCGCACTTTTTGACTTTTTCCTCTGAGCCTTTTGTAGGCATTCTCCACGGCTGGGAGAAAGACAATGAGGACTAGCTTAGCATTTCATTAGCTTCTTCCTTTAGAATTCCTTTTTGTTTGTTCTCACGCATGTCAGGAGAATTGGAGGCTATCTACTTTGACTTTTTCTCCTTGTACCTTTTGAGTAGCTTTGCTCTACGGATGCTAGAAACAATTAAGAGACTCAATTGTTACCTGTAACTTTCATTCGCCTTTCAATTGTTTGACGAATTGTGGCTTCCTGAAATGCAGACAATGGCCGTGACTTTTGCTGAAATTTCCCGCGGACTTAGTTCATCAAATATGAACTAATTTTCTCATTCTAGTCAAGAGACGACGGATGTTTTGGGTAGCCTAAAAATTGTAAGATCGTTTTAATTTAATCTTTCCCTTTTATTTATTGATATCCACTTATTCCTTGTTTGCTATGCTTATGATTATTTAATTAATTGATTATTTTGGATCCGGATAATTAATTGATTTGGTAACCTACTGTCAATTAAAGCATTAAATCCGTAATTGTCCTGAAATAGTGACAACTGGCACGATTAGATTCGTGTCAGGGGGATACGACGGCTAATCTAAAATAACCCTGGTAGTCCGTTATTTGGTTAGAATAGGGCTCCTCTAATATGTAAGGCAATTGGGGAATTAAATCTTACGGACGTACCTAGAATTATTCCTTAATTAGAGCAGTGATTAACGGGCGTACCTTAATCATCGACACAGTAAGGAGGAGTTGACTGCTATCGCTTGTTTGGTAGTTATAACCTATTTATTGATAAACAATTGGGATTGCCTTTGCTTCGATGATCAATTAGGTGAACCATTGCTGAAGTCATTTCTTGGCTAGACTTTTAATTAATATTATCTTAATTTTGGTGAATTGCCATTTGACTTTTAGTTGCCTACTTTATTTTATTTTTAAGTGCTTCCTTGTTTTAATTGATTTGGGCCTTTAATTATTGTTACTCTGAGTTCAGTGAATTATTGTTTAATTTCTAGTCAGTTATTTATTTTCATTTTTATTTTCTTATTTGAATTTATTTGATTGTTATCATTCCTACAAAATCACCCCCTGTGTTGTTTTGAATTTCTTAAGAAACAAGTATACCCAATCCCAGTGGATACGACCCTACTTGCCATGTCTACGAATTCATAATTATTTGTGAAAAGAAATAACCATTCCATTCGGGTATATCGGACCAAGCAAACTCTTCGGGAACAGGGTGAATCAAGTAATCCATTGCACACCTAAAGTCCCTGCTCTAGTACTTGGAATTGAGTTTGGTCATTTTAACTGGCAATTAGGTTTAATTTTATTATTGTACAGGTTTCGACACCCTGTCAACAAGCAATCTCGCAAACGCCAGATTGCGAGTAGATAATAAATATACATGTGACCATCTAGTTGATACATCAATTAGCACAATAAAATATCGAAATAGTCCACATGGTGGATCTACAGGTCTACATATATCACCATGAATTCGTTCTAGAAATGTAGGGGATTCAATCTCAACTTTAACTTGTGATGGTCTAATAATTAATTTTCCTTGAGAGCAAGCAACACAGGAGAATTCATTTGCTTTTAATATCTTTTGATTTTTCAATGAGTGGCCATGTGAATTCTCGATTATTCGTCTCATCATTATAGATCCAGGATGTCCGAGACGATCATGCCAAATTATAAAATCATTAGGATGAGTAGACTTCTGGTCTACTAGGTGATGAATTTCAATTGCATTAATTTGTGCATAATATAAGCCAGAAGAAAAAGAAGATAATTTTTCTACTACGTATTTTTTTCCAGAAATGATATTTGTGATTAATAAAAATTCACCATTTGTCTCAATCATTGTCTCGATATGATATCCATTTTCGCAAATATCTTTAAAGCTTAATAAGTTTTTCCGAGACTTGGGAGAGAATAGTGCATTATTTACAATAATTTTAGTCCCTTAAGAGAAAAATAAAGTGGCTCTTCCGGAGTCTTCAATCAATTTTGCACTACCACTAATGGTATTAACATTTGTTTCTCCCATTTTCAAACAAGAAAAATATTTTTTATTTTTCAATATGGTGTGCGTAGTAGCACTATCAATGAGACAAATATCATCATCACCATTATTTAATCCCAAATATTTGACATCAATTTCTTATTCAGGAAGAAAATTTCAAACAAAAATAAATATTCAATGAAAAAAAATTACATAAAAGATATAAAACATCATAAAAATATCTAAATAATCATGAGATATTTGTTGACATTTTCAGGATGCTCAAAAAAATCAGCTACATCGAGGTGTGTCATATCAGCATCATCAGCATCATTATAATTATTCTTTGGGTAAACAACAAAAAAGCCCCTTGTGGTTAAGCAATCATACATAAAAGCCCCCTGTGATTTCATATCATACCAGTCGATACCCCGTGATTTGAATTAACTTGAAAAGTGGACGGAAATCGGCAAAACAGACGAAACTGAGTGAATAGACGAAAATACCCTTTTGATATAAGCGAAAATTGCAGAAGTAATTTTGCACTTTCGTTCTATCGAAACCAACGAAGAGAGAGAGAAAGAAATAGGAAACCCTAGAGAGAGATAGAGCAGCCCCTTTTGTAGCCAATTTTCAGCAAAAATTTCGATTGTTATTTCAATCAAATATCAAGATCGATGGAGAATACGAGGAAGTGAAGATTTGCGGTAAAAAATCGAAGAAAAATGGGTTAGTATATCATCTCTCATCTATTTCGATTCGGGTTTTGGGGTATGTTGTACAAGAAAAATTGTTATTTACTGATTTCAGATTAAATTGGGAGGCATTATTTAACAAAGATAGCTTTTTTGATGTATTTACGAATGTTGTTAATGAAGATAAAGGTTTTTGACGTATGCCCAGCAAACCTAGTTGCATAGATAGATAGTTTAAGCGTTCCTTTCAAATTGGTAAAGTTTTGATAATTTTTGAAAGCTTAAAAAGAGACAGCTTTATAGAAGAGGTCCCTCCAAAAACGCGTTTAGCAGCTTTGGTTCCAATGCCTCAGTTGTTTGGGATGATAAGGCTACGTGTTTCAGGTCCTAATCTGGTTATCCCTTGTTTTTGGTCAGACTCAATTGTTGAGTCTGACAGTCCGTCTTTTTGGCTTGAAGTTATACTATCAAAGTGCAGTATTACTTCTATTGATCAATTACTACTGTTAAATGCCATGATTAGTCAAGCATGCCAGTTTCTGTAATCTGTCATTATCTTAATATGGCTTATATCGAGACATGTTGTGGTCCAATGTGGTCCCCAATTGTTTGTTCTGATTGTATTATGTTAGTTTTTTGTATACTTGTGAAAGACTCTGAGAACTTTATTGCTTGTCATGGTATCACAGAGGAGAAATCCAAGGACAAAGTTGAGATACACATGCATTTTGGTGGGAGATTTAGAGAAAAACCAAGGCTCCACTACACAGGAACCCACATGGCTATTTTCAAAGACAGAATTGAAGATCAGTTGTCGATAGTGAGCCTGTGCAGAATGTTTAAAAAAGTAGATGAAAGAGCAAATAAAGTAACGTTTTGGTTTTGTGTCCCAGATGTTGATTTAGAAGGTGCTCTACACCCAATTAGGGACAATAATGATATTAATTTAATGAAGCAGTGCTACTGGAACTTGCCAATGGAAAGGCTAATTTATGCTTGTAGTGGGGATGAGCCATTTGAAAAGGAGCCAGAAGATGGTGGGGTCAGTAATGGAATAAAAAATGAAGGCCCTGATACAACCTATGGACATGAAAATAGTGGGGTCACTAACACTACGGGGACAGGTGCATGTGAAGATGATGAAGAGCCAGAATGGTTAAAAGATGGGTTGGAAACAATAGAAGATGAAGACATCTTTAGCCCCAAGAAAGATACTGCTGGACCCAGCAACTATAACAAAAAAGGTGGGGCAAGGGCAGATGGAGACATAAAAAAATTGCCAGTGCATATATTCTCATTTGGTGGAAAGACAGATGAAAAAAGTTCTCCTAAAAGGGGTTCTGTGAGAAAGAAAAGGGCCAGCAAAACTTCACAATCTAGAGGGCCAGATGTGATTCGGCAAATTGACCCCCTGTTTCATCTCAAAGGCCATCAGATGCTGAAGATGTAAGCATTGAAAAAGGACTTGTATCATCTCAAGGGCCATTAGAAGATGAAGCTGCAAACATCAAAAAATCTTCTGCAACATTTAGAGAATCAGATTTGAGAGAAGAAGATGAAAGGGTAGGGAATACTGAGGTGACTGAAGAGGATTGGCAAGAACCTGTGGTTCCAGATGAAGATTTGCTGGACAGATTTAGATCTGATAGTGGAGAAGAAGATTACTGCCTTGACTTCAATCCTGAAGTTGAGTTTGGGAAGCCACACTTTGAGTTGAAAGTGGGGCAGAAGTTTACTAATTTTAGAGTGTTTAGATCTGTGTTGTGTGAATGGCTAGTAAGAGAGGGTTATGAAGTTACTTGGGTGAAAAACTACTCCAAAAAAATTATTGCCATCTGTGCAAAAGGTTGTAGTTGAAGGATTCGAGCAACACCAATTCAAAATGAATCGACCTTCCAAATAAAGTCACTGAAGGGTGAGCATGTGTGTGCTCGAGAATATCAAAATAAGCATGCAATAGCCTCATATCTGAGCAACAAATATCAAGAGAAGATCAGGGATAATCCAAAAGTTGATTTGATGGGGTTGAAGAATGACATCAGAAGAGATTTAATGATTAATGTGTTAATTGCTAAGGTTGGTAGAGCTAAACGTAAGGCAAAGGATATGATGCTAGGCACGGACATGGAGCAGTATCAAAAACTCTGGAATTATGCAGCCACAGTCCGAGACACAAATGCTGGAAGTACTGTAAAAATGCAGATTGACAAGCCTCCTGATGGTTCAAGGGGTACATTTCAAAGGTTATATTATTACTTATATGCCTGTAAGAAGGGTTTTCTTGATGGTTGTAGACCAATAATTGGTCTAGATGGCTGTTTCCTTAAGACAGCATTTGGTGGACAATTATTATCAGTACTTGGCAGAGATGGCAACGACAACATGGTGCCAATAGCATTTGCAGTGGTAGAGGTAGAGCGGTATGACTCCTGGAAATGGTTTTTGGAGTTGCTAATGGCTGATTTGGGCATGGGAAGAGATAACATTCCTTGGACCTTTATCTCAGATAGACAGAAAGGGCTTGTGCATGCTGTGAATGAACTGTTTCCAAATTCAGAGCATAGATTTTGCTTGAGGCACATGTACCAGAATTTTAACCAAAAGTTCAAAGGAAAGGAAATGAAAGACATGTTTTGGGCTGCTGCAAGCGCTGGCAATGAAAGGGAATGGAAAATGGCAATGATTGAACTAGAAAAGACAAACAAAGAAGCTGCTGAATGGTTGAGCAGAATTCCACCAGCCCTTTGGAGTAGATCACATTTTACAGGTTATAGTAAATGTGACATTCTGGTAAACAACCTAAATGAGTCATTCAACAACTATATATTAGAAGCAAGAGAGTTACCTATCATTGGGATGCTTGAATGGATAAGGAGGAGATTGATGCAGAGAATTCAAACAAAGAGATCTGGAATGCAAAAGTTTCAAGGAGAGATCTGTCCTAATATAGCAGAAAAGATCGACAAGAATCAGAAGTTGAGTAGGACATTTGTTGCGACCTGGGACGGTGGTCACAAGTATGAGGTCGACTGTGGTGTGAGAAAATGTGTGGTAGTAGACTTGCGTGAGTGGACATGTACCTGTGGATATTTTCAATTAACAGGTTATCCTTGTGCCCATGCATGTGCGGAGGAGTGTGTAGATTACCTATTAAAAATTATGTGCATGCTTGCTACACTAGAGCAGAATATCTGAAAACATATGCATATACTATCACACCTGTTCCAAGTGATATTTACTGGATAACAGCTGAAGAAGAGTCCATAAACCCCCCTGCGGTTAGGAGAATGCCTGGTAGACCAAAGAAACTACGCCGGAGAGCACAATATGAGCCTAAGAAGGGTCAAGTATCAACTAGAAAGGGGCTTGTGGTACATTGCAAGAGATGTTTTCAGCCAAGGCATAACTCACGGACGTGCAAGAATCCCATTCACCCTAACTCTAAATTTTATAAGGTAATTTTCCTTGTACACTTAAATGTCATTTGTATAGCATCTGTATGTATTAATAATGTTAAATATCATTCTTATAGGCACCTGAAGCAAGCGCAGCTGAACCAATTGCTGAGTCGTCCACTCAACCACAGTCAACTAGTAAAGGAGCTCCTACTGCACAAAGTACCACAATGACTAGCAAACAGGCTAGGAAGGTGTACACTCAACCAAGCTTTTACATTGATTTAATGAGTTTCATAAAAACAAATGGAGTTCTGATATACATCCAAGTTCTCTTTATATATGTAATTGCAGCCTGTGCATGGTACGAATATGAGTGGGAGTAACAGTGCTGATGCCACCACTGCAACAGCAACCACAACCACAGCTCCAACTATTACTGATGTCTTGCGCAAGTTAAGGCCAAAGAGATCAAAAGCTATCCAGCCTTAATTACCTGCCTAATAGTTGTCTAGCTGTAGTTAGACCTTCATTTTGGAATATTACATGCAGTTGCAATGATATCTGCAACTATCTGGAATGTACAATGATTGGTTGTCGATGAAAATGTAATGTCTACTGATATGCATACAGTTAGCTTATGTATTTACTATTTTTGTGGTGACTGGATGAAGTTCTTGGGTACCAGATTTTGGTTGTGTGAAATGGCAACCAGATTTTGTAGTTACTGAATGATTCTGGAAACAGTGATGGAATCTATGTTCTGCATACATTTGGCTTATGTATTTACTATTTTTGTGGTGACTGAATGAAGTTCAACAGTGCCAGATTTTGGTTCCCTGAAATGGCAACCAAATTTTGTAGTTACTGAATAATCTGGAAACAGATTTTGTAGTTACACTCTTTGTGGTGACTGCATGAAGTTCTTGAGTACCAGATTTTGGTTGTGTGAAATAGCAAGCTGATTTTGTAGTCACTGAATGATTCTGGAAACAGTGATGGAATCTATGTTCTGCATACACTTAGCTTATGTATTTACTATTTTTGTGGTGACTGAATGAAGTTCTTGGGTACCAGATTTTGGTTCCCTGAAATGGCAACCAAATTTTGTAGTTACTGAATAATCTGGAAACAGATTTTGTAGTTACACTCTTTGTTCTGGAAATAGTTCTGAATCTATGTTCTTGGCAAGTTGAGATGAATGTTATGTAGAATGGCAACTGGCAACTGGCAACTAGATTCAATTTTGTCTTCTTTTGTTTGTCTTCTATATCACTTGCTGTCCAATCTTCTTTTGTTTGTTTTCTGTATCGGTTGTTGTCCAATTTTTAGCAGGTATATTTCTTACCCGTAGTGGAAACACCAGAACAAATCTGACCATTATTCGGTTGGGATAGACACCAAACAAAACTCCATAACTAGTTGAGCTAAGACTACCTGCTGAAATGCAGCTAGTTGAGTTAAGACTACTAATGTGCAAACAAAACTCCAACTAGTTTATTTCGTTCATTTTTTGGTGTTTTCAAAATGCAGATTACCAAAACAAAACTACAAAATGTCGATTACCAATTTTGTTCAATTTTATTGCAACAAAACTCCATACATCACCAGCAGCCTACCAACTAGCAATTTGATAGATGAAGATCTACATCATCAACAACAACCTACCATTATCTTATCTGGTAGACATCAACAACAGTAAAATAGAAAAGATAGATACCATAACACAACCTCCAACTAGCAATTTCAAATTCTTCATTTCATTGTCCAAATTTTCCAGTTTCGAGAGCACGCCACCCAAATACGCATTTTCTTCAACAGGTTGGCTCACTACGGGAACAGGTGCATCTCGATTTGGCTCGTCTCTGTAAATTGGGTTACACCATGAAAAGAACCAACATTCATCTTTTTCACACACAAAATATAACAATCCTTTCGATGGCTTTTCCGACTCAACAATCTTTAGCTTTGCCTTCCTTCGACAATTACATACCTTGTACTAGTATCGAAGACCTCTGCCTCCATTTCCCCCACTTGTTGGTCGAGAGCTTGAGGAAGACATCTTGGGGTACTTTCTCCACTTTTCCTTCAGAATTAGCAGACCCAATATATACAAATACAGTTCACATTTTTACCTTAAGGCTTTGTTTCCTGCAATTCCTTTGCTAGCCTGCAAGCTCTGCTTGATTGAACTGCCTGGACAGATTTCGAATGCTGCCTTCAATTTTCAATTTTGGCCGAACATGAAGACTCGGAAGACTTGGAAGCTGGCCTCTTATTATTAAAGAGTGAAGGGTAAAGTAGGCATATCAGATGAAAGTTGGTGGTGGAAATCTATTTTTCGCATATGCACGCGCCTTTGCAGTTCGTTTAAGACACACGCCGAATATTTGACGATTTCCGTCCACTTTTCAGGTTAATTCAGACCACGGGGTATCGACTGGTATGATATGAAACTACATGGGGCTTTTATGTATGATTGCTTAATCACAGGGGGCTTTTTTGTTATTTACTCTTATTCTTTTGATTAATGAAATTTGTCTCAATGCCTTTCTCTTTCTTGTTCAATGATGCTTGATAGAGATCGACAAGATGTTCGGCCGTACGACAGGTACGAGACCAATGACCTTCCATACCACACCAATAGCATTTTTCTTTATAAACTTTCTTTCCTCCATTTTTCTGATCGTAGTTATTTTTCCTTTTTTGGGAAACATTTTGTTGTTTGCCACGGTTAAAATTTTCACGAGGCACAAATTTAATACGATCACGGCCTCTTCCACAGCCTCTTCCACGGCCACGTCCACGACCTCGACCAGAATTTTGAAATTGAGTCGCATTCGCTTCAGGGAATGGACTTGTACCAGTTGGTCGGGACTTATGATTTTTCAGCAATAATTCATTGTTTTGTTCAGCCAAGAGAAGACATACGATAAGTTCAGAATATTTTTTAAATCCCTTCTCTCGATATTGCTGTTGCAGGAGCATGTTAGGACATGAAAAGTAAAAAATGTTTTCTCTAACATATCTTCATCAGTAACTTTTTTGCCACATAATGATAATTGAGAAGTGATTCTGAACATGACTGAATTATATTCATTGACAGATTTAAAATCTTGCAGCTGTAAGTGAAGTCAATCAAATCGGGCTTTTGGAAGAACGACCAACTTCAGGTGGTCGAATCTTTCTTTCAAATCTTGCCAAAGGACAAGAGAATCTTTGACAGTAAGATACTCTATTTTTAATCCTTCATCTAAATGATGACGAAGGAAAATCATAGCTTTGGCACGGTTTTGGTTTGAGAATTCATGTTTTTCAACAATAATGTTACCAAGACCCATTACATCAAGATGAATTTCAACATCTAATACCCATAATAAATAATTTTTTCCAGAAATATCAAGAGGTACGAACTCTTGTTTTGTAAAATTAGCCATAAGAAATTAAAATAAGTTTTTGAGTTAGAAATTTACCTCAAAAGTCACTTGAAGAAATACAAGCAGAATTTCGGCAAAATCTTGTGTTTCACTTTTGTTCAAAGTAGCGCCTCCGTTTTCACCTTTTGCTCCAAAGTAGATACTCGTGCTGATAACGTGTTATAAAACTAATAAAATAAACTACTATAATATCAAGTGAAATATTGGAGAAAGAAGTAGAGAAATGGAGAGTGGTATTCTTGTATTCCAACAAAATACAAAAGTGCTCCCAAAGGGTGTCAATGTACCTCTATATAGGTACTACAAGATCAAAGGTGCATTAGTCCTATTAAACATCCACTACTACAATAATATGAAGAAACTTATGAAACAGTTTTTTCACTACATAAATAGATTTATGGATTGTAATTTCTATACATAATGTTGCCATAAAATCATGAATTAATCCCCTTGGGAATACAAAAGGACATCCACATTTTTTTTGTTATTTCATAACATTTTTTTTAATAAGTACCCATATCCGTTAGGTACTTTTATTTTATTAAGACATTTAAAATTCACCTAACCTATCATATATACACATACTAACAGTTATTACTTTCCATTGCATTTAATATTTTTCTCATCTAATCTTACCAATCATTTCTTGTATTTATTTACTCTTCTTAATTAATCATACATCCCCAACAATACTCCCTCATATTTACATACTTTCCTTAATTAATTTTACATTTTCAAAATATATTTTAACACCACAAATATATCTTAATGGTTGCACAATACAAAAAAAAAATGCACAAGGACATAGCACGCTAGACTCCTAAGGCATGAATTATCAAAAACACTAACCTTCCCTTGCATTTAATACTTTTCCCATCAATTTTACTGATCTTCTATCGTATTTATTTACTTTTTTAAATCGATTTTACATTTTCAAAAACACTCCGAATATTTATGTACTTCCCTTAATTAATATTACATTTCAAAAAATACACTATCTTGGCATTACAAATAGGTTGCCCAATACAGACAAAAAAAAACCAAAAAAAAATAGCACAAGGACATAGCACGCTCGACTCCTGAGACATGAATATCCCACGTACAATTTTGAAGGTTTAATCTATTGATTAAAATCCTCACCTTGCGGCGGGATTCATGATCTCGGAGAAAACATTGTCAGACTTTAACATGTCACTACTGGCCGTGAATGTCCCGGTCGTAATACTACGGCGGCTCTTCATCCTGGTGGCAGAATCTTTCTCAACTCCCGAGTCTGAGAACACATCCTCGTCGTCCTCAGTCGTAGCTTGCTCATCTCCTCCCAACCCATGCATACGGAAAGCAAATGGACGTCGACCACTCTCATTTTGGCTAATTGATTAGAATATATGTATAAAAAAGAAAAGTCAGACACTTGCGGATCTGACAGAGTGCATGTATAAAACTATGGGTACCGGGCTGAGACAGCCCGGCACCTGACAGAAACTTTTTTTTTAAAAAAACATGTCAGACAGCCCAGCACCTGACACATTTAAAAAAAAAAAAAGATGTCAAGTGTCGGGCTGTGTCAGCCCGGCATCTGTTTCAATTGAGTGAATTGCAATTCACTTTATTTGTTAAACTAGTTGATAAATGCAATTCACTTTAATTAGTTTAGTGAATTAATTAGTTTAATTAATTGAGTGAATTAATTTTAAGAGATTCGATTAAATGCATTTAATTAAGGTGATGAATTAGGTTTAATTTGTTATTTATTAAATATTCATTTATTTGTTATAAATGATTTAATTATTTAATTATAATGCATTATTTGTTGTTATTTAATTACACTTTATTTGTTGTTATTTGTTATTATTCGTTGTTATTTAATTACCCTTTATTTGTTGTTATTTGTTATATTATTTGTTATTATTTCTTATAATTATAGAATCTCACCTGACAGGAAATTTTTTTTTAAAAATCTATCAGGTGTTGGATTGTGTCAGCCCGGTACCTGACCGAATTTTTCTGAAAAATAAAAAAAAAATTAATAAGTCTACCAAACAAAATGTGCCGAGTAACAAAAAATTCTTAGTGAAAACTTCCCACTAGAATTCAAATCACTTGACTTGAAATACAATTATCTAGTATTCATATTCTTTTAATTTTGAATTTTTCTCTTTCATTTATAGCTTCTCATTTTATTCTCAAGAAAATATCGTAAGGCTGAAATTGTGATATGATTAGTAATTATCAATCGTAATTTGTGACATGTTGCATCATGCAAAAGATCAAAACCCTAAACACTAAACGCTAAACCCTAAACCCTAAACCTAAAAACCCTAATCCCTAATCCCTAAAGCCTAAAGCCTAAACCCGAAAACCCTAAACCCTAAAGATCAAAACCCTAAACCCTAAACCCTGAACCTTGAACCCTAAACCCTAAACCCTAAACATTTTAGATTTCGTATTCATTCTCGTGTTGGTACTTATATTGAATTTTTGCATTTTACCAATTGAACATAATGCATACTAATAGAACATCTATTTAAGTTCTGAATTTTTTTCGTAGTTTGTATTGTGAAGATAATTTCATAAATCTCCCATACAAAATAAATCAAAAAACCAAAACAAGAAAAAAAGTTTAATAAAAAGCTGAGTCGACCTGAAGTACTAAATACTTTGAAATTTAAGTTAATTAATTTACATTTCAAAGTTGAAACATAAGAAAAAAAGAAAATAGATTTGTGCAAAATCACTAATTACTCCTATAGGATGTTAAACAACGAAAATGTTTTTCAAACAAAATATACCATTCATTTTGTAATAAGATGTAGTTCTCAAATTGTTGAGAAATAATTTGTTAGAATTTTTATGTAATTTTTAATGTTCACTATAATTTTATAAAACTAAATTTATTGTGCAATATATAAAATAAAGGACCAAAAAAAGAGGAAAAAATGCATAGCGTGACAACGGTGAAATGGCTAAATATAAAAATAACGATAAGCATTCAAATAATAAAAGACTAAATTCCCATATTATAATATTTGATATTTAGCAAACATGTAATGAAGATTGTATATTTTGTCTACCCAGAAGATTCCGATCTAAACCCAAAAGATTGTATATTTTGTCTACCAAGTCATCATAACCGACCATCTCTGTAAGGAACAACATTTGTTTCGGTATAGAAGGATCATATAAAATTGACCATCCTTCATTTATAATTTTTCCACCCTAATATACTTGAATCACCAAGCAATTATCACTTGACATGTTATACCTATTAGAGACGAGTGTTGATAGCATTTTAGAACCTCATTAATATGCTTATTTGAATAATTAATTAATTGAATCAAATATATATAATTTATAACAAATAAATAAATAATTGCGATTCTATAATTATAAGAAATAATAACAAATAACAACAACTAAAGTGTAATTAAATAACAACGAATAATAACAAATAGTATAACAAATAACAACAAATAAAGTGTAATTAAATAACAACAAATAATAACAAATAACAACAAATAATGCATTATAATTAAATAATTAAATCATTTATAACAAATAAATGAATATTTAATAAATCTTACTACATATACATATATAAAGCATGAATAGCCTATGAACAGTGGACAATGGACCGGTTATACTGCGATTGTTGTGACTTTGAGGGGCATTTTGGGATTGGATGGCAATGGCTTTGCTGGAAATTCACTTCTGTCCGCGTGGCTCTCTTCGATGGCAACATTTTGACGGTCAGCAATTTCCTCTCATTCTCTTCTTCGTTCTGTTCTGTTCTGTTCTGTTCTTAGCGTTCTTCGTTCTGTTCTGGTGAGTTGAGCTGAATCCAGTACGCGCCCTTTCAGAGGTTTTGGGAGCTTGTAGACACCAAATTTTTGGCAAAATTTAATATTTTCTTAATTATTTTTCATTTAAGGTGTTATTTATTTTCTTACATTTTACGTGTATTATCTCATTTTTGCAGGTTTGTTTTTTAAAAAAAAAATTTAAAAATTATGGTCTTTCTTTCCTTGGATTCCAAAAAAAAAAAAAAATAATAATAATAATAATGAGCCATCATAATGACTCATGATGGCATCACCACCTTTTGACTAGGAAAGGCTCTCAACGGATCCAATAAGAAGAAAATTGCATAAAAAGGACTCAAGGGAAACTCATTTGAGGGACGACGGGAATCCTTCTTCTCTTGGGGGCTTGGGCAGAGCCAACGGACAGAAAACAAATTTTGCAGAGACACTGGTCCTTTGATCAAAGAAAGCTTGAAGGAGGTAAAAACAACAAACAAATAAACGGTTGAGGCTTAGGAATTTATTCAAAGCTTTAGCCAAGAAACTCCCCTTTCATTGAGGTATTTTTCAGTTTTTTTATTAGACATATTTTGGTTGTTTAATTTCTCTTACTGTTGCTGTTTTTATTATGGTTGTATTGGTGAAAATTTGGAAATGTGTTAAGTTAGATCAATGAAAAAGAAATGATTCTTGTGTAGGCATGCAAACTGTTTAAAAATATTTAAATGGAAAGTCGAATAAAAATTTTATTTTTGTGCATATATTGTTGTTAAAAATGAATAATCCTGACTATTCAATATTTGGAGAGGTTGTTTAGTTAAGTTTTGTCGATTTTGTAATCTAGACTTTTGATTTTTTTTATTTTTTTCATGAAATTAAAATTATAGTGGTATTTTTAAAAGTCATAAGGAATGTTTTATCATAAAATTTTGTTGAGGAAATGAGTCGAAGTTTTTGTGTTGATTTAGTTGACAAATGGTTGGCTTTTGTTTGAGTTTTCTTTGTATAAATGTGTCTGGGATGATGAACTCAGGAGTCGCATAAAACTTCCGATTGCAGAAATCTTCTTTGGATTTTTGGATGAAAATCTGGAAAAATTACACTTTTGATCCCCCAACTTTTACTTAATTCTAATATGGCCCAAAAACTTTTGCAATTGAACCATTTTGCAATTGAGTTCTGATCCTATTTCCCATGTTTAAATGCGTTTTTAAGTAGATTAATTCTGGGATTTAATGCATAATCAGAGTTTAGTAATTTTTTAGTTGAGTTTTTATCTTGTTGGGTTTTCATAAATAAGATGTGATTTGATTTGGAATTGTTGGTTGGGTTTGACAAATGAATTGATGACTTATTTTCTGGGTTGTTGACATGGGCTTTGGGAATAAAGCCCATATATATTTTTAGCTGGGTTTCGCTTGGACCAAAGATAGGCTGGCCTGCTTGTCTTCTTAGGGCTTTCAGTTGGGCTAGGAAGCTTTCGGCCCAAACAAATAAGAAAAATGGCCCAACGGCCTGTTTAGCCAAGTATCTGGTCAACGAATTTGTAGAATGGTCCCTGTACTTTTCATTAAGTATACTGTGACCCTAAGGCCTTTGATTTCTTTCAATTATGTCCCTATTTTAATTGCAAATAGGTCCCTTAACTTTATTTTTCTTTAATTTTGGCCTCAAAACTTTATTAATTTTTACAATTAAATCCTTACTTGTTTTAATTTCATAGACATGGTTTGTTCACCTTCATTTAAGTGCCTCGATTAATTCAATTTCATATTCATTCCCTTTTTATGTGATTATTGGTTACTTAAAGTGATGCCTTGACCTTTTCTTTATTTTTTGGAGGGTAAATAAGTAATTTTACTTCATTAGGGTACCAATTCAGGGGAGGTACACTCTTTCTCTTATTTTTGACTTTATTTGACCCTATGTGCCCTATGTGACTTTATGTGCTTAATTGCATGCCTCTTGAATGTTTTTATTTATTTATTTACTTGTTTTAATTTTGTATATTTATTTTAATTTGATTCGAAATTATTTGGGAAGGCAATTAAATGCCACAATTGTAATAGTTAGGTATTTATTTTAACTATTTATTTTATTTCCCATTTTAGATTGTAGTAGGCCCTCCCCCTAATGTAATAATTAGGGCTTGTTTGCCTTATTTGCTTGTTGTGATTTGCATGCTTACTTGCTCTGTGTTACTGCTTTTCTTAGGATATTTGCATTTAGATATTATGCTTATGTGTTATGTGCTACGTGCTCTTATGTGTTTATTTATCCTAATTTATACTTTATTTGTTTACTATGTACTGTTAATGCATGACGTCACCACACTACTGTTAATGCATGACGTCACCACACTAGTCCAACGCTAGTTGTGGTTTCTCCCTCCATTTACTTGCTAGTCCAATGCTAGTAAGGACCTTTAGAAATGGGTTAGTCCAACGCTAGACCCTTAGATTGTTCATGCATTAGATTCATCTTTTGTATGATATCCATTACATTTCCATGTATATTTTATTTTTTAGAATTTTCTCATTTGCATGATATTTTCTATTATATTATCCTCTACCCCCTACCCTCTATATGTGTTAATCAAATCATTTAGAATTGCACTTCATTTAAGAAATTATGAAATAAGTTAGTTCATTTGCTTGTTCATATTAGGAGAATTATTTTTGAACATGGATATAGGTGATTATAACTCTTTAGTTTAAATACCCCATTAATCCTTGTATAAGAAAATTATGTCACGAGTTTTTGTCTCCCGTACCCATTATGCTGCATTTCCTTTTTCTTTGATCACTTATACCTATGTATATAATTTAATTTTTTTTTATTTTATTTTCTTTCAATTTCATCATTTGCATATTCGTGACCCCTTCAATGAATTATTTTGGCCTTCGCAATCAATGCGATTGATATCAATTAAACCCTTGAATGGATATTTTGTCCTATTCGATATTTTATTTTTGCATCCATATAGGAAATATCCAAATGTGATAAATTTAAGGGTTAAATTAAGAAAATTTTGACTAAACCACGCAACTGGCTTAGACTAGGTTGAAAGGGTGCCTTAGGTTTGAGTTAATCGAACCTTTGCCTTCTCTTTCTTCAACCGTGACTCCCGAACTTATTTTCTCTGTTTTCAAAGACCTGGAGTCGTCAAAAAGGGTTTTATTTTATTTCTATTTAAAAAACACTTTTTTGGTGATTTGGTACACCCAAACTCAATACCAAGTGGCGACTCCTATTTTTTCTTAAAAACCCTTTTTAGACTGAATTTTGGACCCAAATTGTCGCATTTTTTTAAGTCCCATTCTTGGTCCTTTTCCATTTATTTTTTAATAAAATCACATCTTTTTTATAAACACCTTCTTATTTATTTTTCCATCGCGAAAAAATGGGCCGCGAAGAGCTACTACTTTTTCCTATTCTTTTGTCGGTCTTGTTTCTTCTCGTTCTTTTCTTCGCCTTGTTTACCAGTGTCTTTCCCGTTCCTCATTCTTCTTCTTAGCTTTCTCCGGGCGGTGTTTTTTCCTTCCCTTGTTTTCCTTTTGAATTTTCTATTAGATTGTAAATTAAGATCAGGGATTTTTTTTCATTCATAGATTAAACGTAATAGTTTCTGCAGAATTTAATGAGAAGTTGTTGATTTTTTTGAAGAAAAGGGGAGGCGGGGAATTTTGATGTATGGGGGATATGTGCAGAATAGAGAAAGAGAAGAGTGAGGAGAGTGTTTGGAGGAGGAGGAAGAACTGGGGTTTAAGGGGGCTAGGGTTAGGGTTAGGATTAGGTGGGGTGATGGGGTTGAAAGGTGGAAATATTATTCAACATAGTAGAGTAGAGAAGTTTAAAAATTCCATGGTTTCACGGTCGAAATGAAGCTATGGATGATAAGGGCTACTACATCTGTGATGTTGTGGAATTGCTTGGTTTAGTTAACGGCATTGGGTGAAAGTTTTGGTCCTAGAATTTTGAAGGGATGGCCATCTTGCTTTTCTCAGGATTCTGTTACTGGTTCTGCTTCCGCTTTGGATGTTAAATCTGCCCCTGAAGATGTCCCTGCTCGAGTTCTTCCTCCCAAGAATGAGTATTACTACTTGATTGATTCTGTTTTTGCTCTTTGATTTTTATTTTTGGGCGCTGTAATGAATTTGCTGTTTTGATGGTTGATGTTGATCGCTTTAAAAGATGGGAAGTAGAAGCTCATATTTTGGTGAATGTAAGCGGAAAGGATAGTGGATATGAGGTGGGTGTATTTGTGGTGTTCAGGGTGCTTTATAATGTAGAATCTAAGGGTCTTTGAATTTAGGAAAGTGGGGTTTAATTTCACACACCGATGGATGAAACGACTGACTTGGACTGCTGGTTGATTATTGAAAAGTTGAGAAGCATGCGGCAAGTTCCTGAGAGATTTGGTTGCTCCAAGCACTTGTAGAATTGAGAGTTTGCGGTGGTTGTTGATCTTTTGTTTTGTTTTGAAATGAAGTAATTGGTATAACAAACCTCTTAGGTTGTTTTACTGCATCAGTGGATTTTGCTGCATTCTCTATTTGCAGCGGTTAATCATAAATGTGTTGTTTGTTTTATTTGGAATAAGCATGGATCATTAATTTGTCCCTTGTTGGAATTGTATTTGGTATTTTGACTACTATTTTCCCCCACCTACAATCAGATTTGAAATTTGCACCTTTTGATGTAGGAGTTTACAAGAACAATGGTTATCTAATGGTTTCATGCAACGGAGGCCTTAACCAAATGCAGGCGGCGATTAGTAGATTCTTAATAATGTGGCTTGCATGTTTGAACTGGCTTATGACAGCAATTTTTGATAACCTATACTTTTCCTCTATGTTATTGGGGTACAGATACATGACATGGTCGCAATTGCCAGACATTTGAATGTGACGCTTATAGTTCCTGAGTTGGATAAAACTTCTTTCTGGGCAGATCCAAGGTCTCTTTCCTTGAACAAAATTATGGCTTTGTTCTTTTATTATGATGGAGGGCTATCCTTTTTTCCCCTCCTCTGTACTGGATCTTTGTTGTTTGATGTTGCAGTGAGTTTCAAGACATACTTGACGTTAAAGTTCGATTGAATAATTCTTTCCGCCCTCCAATTTTTCAAACTCATACTCATTATAATAAAATACCGGATCCAACCTACCTGATGCATAGCGTCAGGGCAGAATACCTAGTAACAAATAAAACCATCACTTTAATTAAATACAGTTAATCGAATCTCTTAAAATTACTTCACTCAATTAATTAAACTAATTAATTCACTAAACTAATTAAAGTGAATTGCATTTATCAACTAGCTTAACAAATAAAGTGAATTGCAATTGACTCAATTGGATGAATTGCAATTCACTCAATTGGATGTCAGGTGTAGCCCGGCACTTGACATCTTTTTTCAAAAAAAATGTGTCAGGTGCCGGGCTGACACTGACATGTTTAAAAAAAAAAAGGGTTTCTGTCGGGTGTCGGGCTGTCTCAGTCCGGTACCCATAGTTTTATACATGGGCTCTATCAGACAGCCCGGTACCCATAATTTTATACATGGGCTCTGTGAGATCCGCAAGTATCTGACTTTTCTTTTTTACACCTATATTCTAATCAATTAGCCTCTCTCATTTTCAGCCGCCTCCTGAAGCTGCAACGCGAATTCGAGGCTCCAGACTACATCATTCATTCCGGGTCGTTCAATCCCCTGATCTTTCAAACAGTTGATCGCCGTTTCAGCAAAACTCCTCAAACACTCGGGAGCAATCTCGCCCTTCATGTGAGGGTCTACAGTTTGATGGATGATCCCTTTAGCGTAATACCTCTTGCCCCACTCCGCCAAATTCACCTGCTCCTTGGGCAAGTTGGGAATAATGGCTCCCCGCCCACACAGCACTTCGAGCAAAACCACCCCGAACGAGTACACGTCCGACTTGTCCGTCAACTGCTGTCTCTTGTAATACTCGGGATCTACGTAGCCGAAACTCCCCTTCACCTGCGTGCTGACATGGCTGTGGATTCCACCGCTGGGGCCTAGCTTGGACAGACCGAAATCAGAAACCTTGGCCACCCATTTCTCGTCCAGTAATATGTTGGTTGACTTGACGTCCCGGTGGATGATATTGTGCTTGGCGCCGGTGTGGAGATAATGCAACCCTCTGGCTGCGCCGATGCAAATCTGAAGCCGTTGCTTCCAAGGGAGGGGTGGATTATCTGTTTTGTAGAGGTGGTCGCGAAGGGTGCCATTGGCCATGTAATCATAAACCAAGATCATCTCTCCCTTCTCGTCACAGTAACCTATCAGGGATACCAGATGAAGATGCCTTAGATTCGACAGCATCTCGATCTCGGTTCGAAATTCGCGGACCCCTTGACTTGACGAAGGATTTAATCGCTTAATAGCAACTGTGATTAGACTATTGTCAATGTACCCTTTGTACACGTTTCCGAATCCTCCGGTTCCGATCACAAACTTAGCATCGAAGTTGGCCGTAGCAAAGATGATCTCCTCCAGGGAAAATCTTCGGCAAAGATCTAGAGGCAGTGACGAAGACCTCGATGCACTTGTTGTCTTTGATGACCTGGACCTGGTTGAAAGTTGGACCCCGGATGACTTTGAAGCACTTTTCTGGTCAAAATCTTTTACCCGTCTCCTTAGCCGCCGGGAAATCAAGAAACCGATGATGAAAACCAAGGCAGACCCTCCGACCACCCCTCCCACGATAGGAAAAAGTACCGGAGATTTTACACCTCTCCCCTTTTTCGGTGACTTGCTGTTTGGCATCGGGGAATTGGGATCCGCCGCCTGATCAGGATTGGTCCCGGCAAGACTGCCGCTGTTGCTCAATTTGAACAATTCTAAACCATTCAAGATTGCATCAGCATACTTCGGCTTGACGTCGAGATTTGGGTACAGAGCAAGAAACAAGCCTTGCTTGCTCGGGCGACCATCCGGTGGGTGTGGAACGAACACGACGTAGTCTCTGAAAACCGGGATTCCGGGGCCGCCGGTCCAATTTATAATATCAGCCTCTTCCTCAGCTGTTTTGTTACTGATGAATATCCTGAACACCCGTTGGTTCTCTTGTGTAATCAAATCAGGGTCAATCTCGCAAAAATGCAACCTCAGGAGATAATTAAACCCAGAATCAACAGAGAACGTCCAGCTCAAGTTGAATCGGGTGCTAAACTTGCCCATCGCCCTTGCGGTAGTATAAACTATCGCTGGCGCAGTGTAATTTGGGGTTTGCGGAGTGTACTTGACAGCAATTTTATTATTGCTCCATGGATTCCCTTCATCTGCGCCCCAGGTGAAGCTGTCATCGCTATCCCACCCTCGGAACATCCCACTATCATCTAACGCAGTAACAGCTTGTCCTCCGACGTTAAGCCTGTAAAGAGCTTCGAAGGCAGTGTCGTTCTGATCAAGCTCGAACTGAATGTTGGGATCATTCACGTTTTTGAGGGGATTACTGGACATATCATGGTTGCCCATGTAGAGTCCGTCCGGGGTTGAAACAACTTCAATTCCATTAATGAACGCGTAGGCCTTCGGAGAGGGCGAAAAGGTAACGTTGAGGAATTGGTTCATAGCCTGAACATTAATGATGAATTCTTTAACAAGGGAGGCAGATGAGGATCCACCGAAAGAAACTGTTAAAAATGCGCTAAAGTTGCTCAGAAGGGTGTAGTTATTAGCCAAGACAGCGAAGAAAGATTCAGTTGCGTTGAAGTCGCTGGAGTAGGAGGCCGGGTAGAAGTAAAGGCGGACGAACTTTTTTCCGGGGGAGACAGGGAAGGTATAGGAGAAATTAGAACGAATGATACGGGCAGTTAAATAAGGGGCTCCGGAGACCGAAGAGTCTTGCTCGGTGGCTGTGACAGCTGAAGAAATAGTCGCCATGTCGTTAGGGGAGAATTTTGAGCCGGCGTCGCCGTACCAGTTCCGGCCATCGGCTGAGGTTGCGTTTGAGGATGATCCGCAGTTGATCAGGATGTAATCTGTGGGGCTGTAAGGTGGAGTATCGCTGGAAGTGATGATGAACAAGAGATTGAAGAGAAAGGAAAGGTATACAAGAGGAGTAAACATTGGAGCAAAATTAAGAGGGTACCCCAAAACACACAGATTACTCCTACATCGATGGAGATGATCGGTTTAAAGCTGGTGTAGGATTTGCAGGATGAGGTGGGAGGAATTATTGGTCCTTGGAAAATGAAGTGAGGATGGCTCCGTCACTGTAAACTCCTGCGTGGACTTGCCAAGTCGGAAAAGTCAAGTCTTTAGACTGATTCAAACTATACTATACTCCCATACTCCAAAGAGTAATTTCTATAATTTCTTTTGGAGGCAGGTAAGGAAAGGGACAAATTTCTGCTTGAAATTATTTCTTGGAAGTTAGCAAAATAGAAAAAGATTCTTGGGTTTATCAGTCTATCACCCTGGTTGGCAGCCGGCTGCCATGAGAAAAGAGTCCAATAGAGAGCTGGGGGGACCATGGTAATTGTGGTCGAGTCTGTGAAGAGAAAGCTGTGGGGTACTTGAGAAAATTCTGTGGATACTAAGACATTAATTTCAATGAGAAGACTAGCAGCAGCAGCAAGATTGCAACTTCATCTTTCAGTATCATTGCTGTACTAGCAGCGGATATGGACCGGTTAATTTGGAGCAACTCTGGCGGCCTTTCTATTAGAGCTTCAGTCATTTTGACTGTGTAATTGTAGTTCCTTCAGCTCAACCGATGTGAGTGGGGCAGTGCAGCAGTCATTTTGACTGCTGCTTTTGAGATCGCAAATAGCCCGTCTGGATACTATTTTCTGGAGTTTCTGTTAAAAAAATATTGTAACGATATGATATGAGGTAAAAAAAGTGATTGAAAGATGCATTATCGCAAAGTGTAAAATTTTTTGGGAAGAAATGGGAATCCAAACAAGGCCGACTCTTGATTTTTGCTTTACCTCAAGCTGTGAATTTTGTTTACATGTATAATTGATCAGGCAGAGAATATGAGTGGCATATCCACATAGATTACTTGTTTCGGTCTTATCAATTTGTTAATCAATCAAGCAGGTAAGAAGAGAGTGTACGAGCTTGTCATGGAACGGATGCAGAAGATCCCGGAAGCCGAAGCCCAACAAAAACACGGCTCCCCAGCGGCGCAGCCTATTCCTCAAACTGCCAAATGCTTGATCTAAAGGTAATTATTTTTTAGTTTTTTCTTTGACTTCTATTTTGGATAATTTTTCCTGGGATTTTTTGGAGGCTTTTTGACATTTTTCTGGGTTTCAAGTTTTATTTGGTTTAATCTTAGGGAAGGTAAATAAAATTTTTTTTCTTGGGTGACTGTTGGATAGGTTTTGTTAAGTGGGTTTGCTTTAGTTTTTTTAATTGACAGTCTTTAGGATTTATAATCTCTATGTTTGACAGCTTAAGGTTATCTCTGAATGGGGTTTTTGGCATAGAAATGTAATTTTTGGTTGAAGTGCTTGCAATTTATGAGCTAATGACTCGTATGATAGGCAATTTAATGACAGTTTTGGTCTTCATCCCATAAAATTTATCGCACTTCGGGAACTGTAATTTTTATGAAGAGTGGATAGAATTTGAAAATTGATGCTGTAGTTTCTCGTTTCACCCCCATGAAGAGCTTTAAGTGTTGTACTAAGACATAAAGAATTGTGGAGCCAAGATGTTTGTCCAATCGCAGATGTGATTGCCAACTAGCGCGTGCATCGGAACACTTAATTGCTTTAGTTTCTTAATGCCAGCTAGCGCGTACTACAAAAGAAGTTGTCTTAGTTTCGTTGGTAATAATCTGTGGGCTCATGAAAAGACACATGCATTGGACTTTTAGGGAGTGTTTGAACGGTAAATGGAGGAATTGAATGCAAATGTGTTTGCCAATTTATGTAAGTTATAAATATTTTGGGAGAACTTAAAAGGAAAATATGACTGTGTCAATGAAATGGAACGGAGGGAGTATTAATCAAGGATTTTTCTTGTTTTAGTTTTGTAAGTGGTCATTTACGTTTTCTCTAATCGAATGTGGTTTAATTCAAGTTTATGAGTTTCTT